GAAGACCCGTGAGAGTGAAAGCAATGCTCCAAACAAAGTGAAAATGGTGGAGAGAGATGAAGAAGAGGGTTGTCATTGGGTTGCCATTGGACCTACAATTATAACATCAACAAAACAACAAGGGTCGAGAAGTTGGTTAGGGTTTGCGCAGTTCTACTTTCTAATAAACACCAAGTGAAGGGCTTCAATGCTGTAGAAGACGGACGTCCAAGACAGCGAGAAGATGATTCTTTAGGATTTAGCGAGAAGGTTAATCTTTGAATACCAGAAAGATAAGAGAACTGAGAGAGATGAGGAAACGCGAGAGGTCAAGCGAAAGCGAAACTGCGAAATGCAAATGAAAGAAGAAGCAAAAGCACGAAATGAAATTTAATATTTTTTTCTTCCCATAATACCCTTGCCTGATCAATTGCATATTAATTTGTTTTTTTAAACATCAACCAACAGACAACCACCACGTGACGTTGTCAAAATTGTGTCAAGAAAACGTTGTTAAAGAAACGTTTTCCATTAATATATGGTGTTACAATGTACTGTGTCTATTACGTTTATTTACTCAATTTATTATTTTAAAAATGCACATAATTCATGTTTAATTAATTAAACTATTATTCAACAATATAGAAAATTAAAACAATGTGTTGCACATTAGTTTANTAGGTGACCATAGTGTAAACTTTTATATTTTTGGCATAAATCCAATGGTTTTGGTGTGATTTTATTGTAGGAAATCATGTTTGGACACCTCTGTTGGACATAAGAAACAATTTTGTTGAGTTGAACAAGTTAGGTGAAGTCCTGGAACTTCTACACCAAAAAACACACTTGTAATCATTTACAGATGCTTGGTAAACGATTACACAAACAAAATCAAGGATTTGTACAGAAACTTGTACTGCAGGAGCCAACTGTGGTAACCTAGGTGACCATAGTCAAAATTTTTAATTTTTTTGGCATAAATCCACTAGTTTTCACTTGATTTTGGTGTTTAAGTGTGAGTAGAGGCTGAGAAGTCATGTTTGGGCACCCCATGATTGAGGAAAGGAACAATGTTTATGAGATGAGCAACTTATATGAAGTCCTGAACCTTCTGCACAAAAAAAACACACCTGTAATCATTTATAGATGCTTGGTAAACGATTACACGAACAAAATCTAGGATTTGTACAGAAACTTATACTGCAAGAGCCAGTTGTGGTAACCTAGGTGACCCATAGTCAAAAATTTTAATTTTTTGGCATAAATCCACTAGTTTTCACTTGATTTTGGTGTTTAAGTGTGAGTATAGGCTGAGAAGTCATGATTAGGCACCCCATGATTAAGGAAAGGAACAATGTTTATGGCAACTTTGGTGGTCTTCACTTGATTTCGGCAGTCTTTGGTGGAGGAAAGACCCAATGTTGGTGTCATGACCAAGTTAACATATTGTCAACTTTGACCTTTGTTTTCTATTTTAATGATAACTTTTCCCACCGACCACCAAATGATGTGATCCTTTTTTTATTAGAAACTAGACTCAAAAAGCTTTCCAATGACTACTAATTTGTAATTTTTGGACATATGAGTAGGTACAGTTTATTCCTTAAAAGTTAACGCTTTATATATTCCTGCCAACTCTGACCTTTGCTGGTTGTTTTGCTCATAACTTTCTCCACCGAACTCCGAATGAGTTGATTCTTGTTTTGTTGGAATCTAGACTCAAAGACCTTTCAAATTATGTCATGCTAATCAATTTTAGGCCTTTTTTGCCATTGTAATTAATACAAGGACCCTGTAAATGATTACACGAATAAAAATCTGGTTTTGTACAAAAACTTCTGCTGAAGGAGCCCGTTGTGAGCATACAAGTAGCCAAAAAATTTTACGTTATTTTTTCATATTTCTTGAATGGATGAGAGTTCTTTTTAATGTTTAAGTGTGAGCAGAGTCTGAGAACTGGGTTTTTGGCAGTCTTTGGTGGAGGAAAGACCCAATGTTGGTGTCATGACCAAGTTAACATGGTGTCAACTTTGACCTTTGCTTTCTATTTTAATGATAACTTTTCCCACCGACCTTCAAATGATGTGATTCTTTTTTTATTAGAAACTAGACTCAAACAGCTTTTCAATGACTACTAATTTGTAATTTTTGGACATCTGAGTAGGTACATTTTATTCCTTAAAGTTAACGCTTTATATATTCCTGCCAACTCTGACCTTTGCTAGTTGTTTTGCTCATAACTTTCTCCACCGAACTACAAATGAGTTGATTCTTGTTTTGTTGGAATCTAGACTCAAAGACCTTTCAAATTATGTCATGCTAATCAATTTTAGGCCTTTTTTGCCATTGTAATCGATTACAAGGACCCTGTAAACGATTACACGAACAAAAATATGGTTTTGTACAAAAACTTGTGCTGAAGGAGCCAGCTTTGAGCACATATGTAGCCAAAAAAAATTTACGTTATTTTTTCATATTTCTTGAATGGATGAGAGTTCTTTTTAATGTTTAAGTGTGAGTAGAGTCTGAAAACTGGGTTTTTGGCGGTCTTTGGTGGAGGAAAGAACCAATGTTGGTGTCATGACCAAGTTAACATGCTGTCAACTTTGACCTTTGCTTTCTATTTTAATGATAACTTTTCCCACCGACCTTCAAATGATGTGATTCTTTTTTTATTAGAAACTACAATCAAAAATCTTTCCAATGACTACTAATTTGTAATTTTTGGACATCTGAGTAGGTACAGTTTATTCCTTAAATTTAACGCTTTATATATTCCTGCCAACTCTGACATTTGCTGGTTGTTTTGCTCATAACTTTCTCCATCGAACTCCAAATGAGTTGATTCTTATTTTGTTGGAATCTAGACTCAAAGACCTTTCAAATTATGCCTTGGTAATCAAGTGTAGGCCTTTTTAGCCATTGTAATCGATTACAAGGACCCTGTAAACGATTACACGAACAAAAATATGGTTTTGTACAAAAACTTGTGCTGCAGGAGTCAGTTGTGAGCACATAAGTACCCAAAAAAATTTTACGTAATTGAATTTGATCTTTTTTTGGGCACCTGTGTAATGTGATTCTTTTTTTAGGCACCAACACTCAATTGAATTGGATCTATTTTTTAGGCACCAACACTCAGGCCTATCAAGGTCGCTTACATAATCGATTTTTGTACCAAACACCCATAACCAAATAAAAGTTTCATTATATATGGTCGAACAACACTATTAGAGAACGTATGGTGCTGTATCAAAATTGAAATTTTATTCATATAATATATTATTAGTACATATTACCCAACATTTATAATCATGATCTTTTGTATATAAAAAACATGTACAAGTTCCAACTCGAGTGAAAAATTTCTTTCGATCGAGAAGACCCGTGAGAGTGAAAGCAATGCTCCAGACAAAGTGAAAATGGTGGAGAGAGACGAAGAAGAGGGTTGTCATTGGACCTGCAGTTGTAACATCAACAAAACAACAAGGGTCGAGAAGTTGGTTAGGGTTCGCGCAGTTCTACTTTCTAAAAAACACCACGTGAAGGGCTTTAATGCTACAGAAGACGGACGTCCAAGACAGCGAGAAGATGATTTTTTAGGGTTTAGCGAGAATGTTAGTCTTTGAACACCAGAAAGATAGGAGAACTGAGAGAGATGAGGGAACACGAGAGGTCAGGCGAAAGCGAAATTGTGAAATGCAAATGAAAGAAGAAGCGAAAGCGCGAAATGAAATTTCGTATTTTTTTCTTCCCATAATACCCTTGCCTAATCAATTGCATATTAATTTATTTTCTTAAACATCAGCCAATAGATAACCGCCATGTGGCGTTGTCAAAATTGTGTCAAGAAAATGTTGTTAAAGAAACCTTTTCCTTTAAGAATATTTTGGTGCTCGAGTCGAGTAAATAATTACTATTTTAGGTATGAGAAAACTTTTTACTTTAACCAAGTATACACAAAGATAAAACAAGTAAACAATAAAGCATGAACATAAAAAAGTTAACTTCCCTCACTTTCAATGATTTGACTACTTTCTTAAAAAAATTATGTTCTAAGGTGTAATTAAGATAAATAGAATGAGAGGGAAAAAAAGTTGCAATTGAAACGGTGGAGGAAGATGATGTAATGTGCTTCTTTCATAATTCACATGTTTGGCTTTGTATCGACTATGTTATTGCTTTTTACTATTTACACATTGAAAATTTGTTAAGTGTGGAGAAAGTGGAATGTCGCATGATGTAAGTTTCAAAAGAGTTGGTCATTGATGTATAAAAATTATTATTTTCTTTATACTATTCCATTTTGAAAATTTTGTATAAAAGACAACCTAAAAAATGATGGATGCTCACGGGTGACAGCAAGGGTCAAGTCTTACAATATTAAATTGGTACATTGAGTGTATGAAACCAATTTAATGTATCAATCGAACAACAATAGCATAATCAAATTACTATACAATGTATTTTAATACCGTCGACACTTATCACAACTTTATCGTGTCCGTCATAACTTTAAAAAGAATAATCATTATAATTCTTTACTAGTTTTTCATATCTTAAATGGTTGTTTACAATTTGATAGTAAAATCGTGAGAAGAAGAGAGGAACGAGAGAATGAGGAAATATAAGTCGGTCTTTCCAACGAGTGAGATCAAGAGATAAGTTTTAGGTGCAGGGGTGCAGGTCTTTATAATATGCATGCATTGATGCATTGATAGGTGCAGGGGTGCATGTCCTTACATTATTCACATTGGAAAATAATTATAAAGCTTATTTAAAAGATTTCAATGCTCATTTAATCATATTTTTTAAATTCTACGTATAAAAATTTCTCGATTCAATCCACTTTATTGTTTAACATAATAAAAATATATTTAGTTTTTGTAGATTAAGCTGACTCATCCTTGACGAGGCAAGATTAAACAAAGGCTGAGTTGTTAAGGACCGACCTTGAAATTGCAACTTGTGGTAATTTTCAAGTTTTCGACGTTCAAAAGAAAACAAGATATTTCATTCATAGGAACTTAGCTGTTCCTCTCTGTCAAACATATGATGTCTGAAATGGATAAAATTTCGTACACAGCACCACTCTGCAACTTACCATAAATTGTTGCCAAACCTTACTACTTCAAATTCCAACCTCTTTCATTCAACTCATTCGCATTCTCAAACTTCGTTACTTTCTGCTTCGTATACTTTCTGCTGTTTCTGCTATCTGATCAAGTTATCACTCCTCTTTAACCTCTGTGTGTCAACATGACTGTGACGGCGGCGCCAACGGTGAAGGACGGGTGTCTTACGGTGAGGGGAAAGACCGTTTTGTCCCATGTCCCCGGAAACGTTGTTGTTTCTCCGGTTGGAACAGAGTCCGCGTTCTTGGGTGCAACTTTAACCGTTTCAAGTTCTCGTCATGTTTTTGATCTTGGAATTCTTCAGTGAGTCTCTGCTTTTATTCGCCTTTTTCTTTGCTTGGCTTTCTCACCTTCACCAGAAGTTTCTACATTTGTATTAAACGTCTATGATTATGTTGACGTGTTATACACCTCGTTGAGTGTTACTGATTTTCAATAATTTTATAAACTAGCAAAGTCTAAATTTATCAGAAGAGATTATGTTTGTGTGTATAATTTGTTGGCTTTTTTTTTCTTCTTTTTGGTAACTTTAATTCTGATTGTTCGTTAATAAGTTCTGATATATTATGATTGTGTATTATTAGTTAATACATGAAAAATCTGCACCAAAGTCTGAGAGTTGTTTACTGAAACTTACTGTGGAAATAAAAAAAACGCAGGGGACATAAGTTGCTATCTTTGTTCAGAGTAAAAATCTGGTGGATGATACCGCGTCTAGGGAGATCTGCCAGTGATGTTCCAATGGAAACTCAATTGCTGCTCCTGCTAGCAAATGAAGAATCTGCACTTGAGGATGAGCCTTCTTCTGACTGTGAAGAGCCAGCTACGGATAAAAATTGCTACATTCTCTTCTTGCCTGTTTTGGATGGACAGTTTCGCGCAACTTTACAAGGAACTCAATCGAATCAGCTCCAGTTTTG